TGTGTGTGTGTGTGTGTGTGTGTGTGTGTGTAATAGTATATGTTATATATATATATATATATATATATATATATATATATATATATATATATATATATATATATATGCTATATATTAAACCATATATATGCCATGTGTATATATGTGCATGTGTGTATATATGTATGTATGTGTGTGTATGTGGTGTATATATGTATGTGTGTGTGTGTGTATAAATAAAACCATTGAAACTAGTGACAATCATAAATCATGTGACTCCTCCACCTGCACAGCGGAGTGTCCAGGATGGCCCATGTGACCTTTTGGTTTAACTAGTAGTGAGCATATAAAAGAGGGAGCAGACATTTGGTCAGTTGGCTCTGAGGAAGAGGCAAGTCCTCGAAACGCGTCAGTATTTTGGATGTCTAAACTCCCTATTGCGGACTGTTACTCAGCGCGGTGTTGACCCAGCTGTTCTTTATGATGTGCCTTGACTATATTGTCGTTTGTGAGTACAACACCTACTTTTATTTTTTATTAAACATTTTTTATGGTAGTGGATCTGTGGGTTGCTCGGTATTTCCTTCAGTGTCTGGGGTGGCTCATCAAAAGAGACAAGTCATGCTTGACTCCCTTCCAGAGGGTTGTCTATCTGGCATACAAGGAAATGAAGTTCTTTCTTCCGCAGGAAAAATTTCTCAAGATGGACCAGGTGCTGGCAGGGCTGCAGAGCAGTCGGGTCATTTCAATAAGGGACGTCGTGAAGGCGGGGGGGGGTCTTATGACATCTCATTTCCCGGCCCTTCTCTGGGCAAGATTCCACCAGTGCCCACTGCAATTTTTTTCTTCTGAGGCTTTGGAACGGAGACAGGACATTGCTAGACCTTTCAGTCCAGCTCCCTTCCATGTTCAAGAGATCCCTTTTGGTGGCAGTGAGTTCGGTACAATCTTTGCAGAGGTTTAGAGTGGACTATGCCAGATCCAGTGCCTTTCTGTGGTCCTTGGGAATACTGAAGAGGAAGGCCTGGAGGTCCACCTTTTTAAGGTTCTAGGCTTACCTGTTTCCTGTCCTAGAGGGATGAGCTCTACATCTCAAGGGCTGTCATGGAAGACTTATAGAAAATGAATTACTGGTAAATCTTTTTTTTTTTTTTTTTTTTCTTTCCCCCTTGCAATGATCACCTCATCTAGGCTGAACTGGTGGCCTTATCTTGCAAGAATCCCATTTTGGTACTGCATAATGGCAAGGTGGTGGTGAGGCCTAGGCCTTCTTTCCTAAGGTTGGATCTGCCTTTTTACATGTTTGTAAACCTCTGAAAAGAAAATCTAGCAATGCGTATACTCAGGTGTACTGTATAGTACCTGGTGTGGATCTAGGCAGCTCTCCTTTCCCTACAATTTGCATCTTATCATTTCTGACAGTTTTCCCCACATCAGGCAATCCTTGGTGGTGACCCACCCCCTCTAAGCACACAGGTTATTGGTGACCCCATATGTGCATGTTTCCTCATTAGACTGTGTAAGGTGTGGGGGGGGGGGGGTCCATTTCCTCTGCTACTTTTTTGGAAAATTATTTTTTATCAATTTTAAGTTAACAAGTATAAAAATACAGCACCCGGCACAGCCAGTAAAAACCGACAAAATGATCCCACCCATCGCCCCCCTTCCCAACAACAATGCAATGCCTTCATGTAAAGAGTCAAAGTGCAGGTGCCCTGACCATACAAAATATAAACTTCTGTTCATGCTAGGGTAGAGGAGGCAGAAACCCAACAATGCCAGACCTTATCAAATTTTTTGGGGGAACCTCTGCTCAAGTAGGTTGATTTTTATATAATGGTAAAATCATGTTAATCAAGGATTTCCAATATCAGATGGTGGGAGCTGCAGGTCTCTTCCAATGGAGCAAGATAGCCTTATGAGCCTAGAACACGGTCACTGAAAGGAGGGTTCGCTGTGTGCGCAAAGGTGCCAACTCCTCCACCAGTCCAAGAAGGCACACTGATCTAGTTTTGCGGAATGTGCAGTGTTGTGACATCGACCAGAGACTGGACCACCCCACTGCAAAAGTCTGTAATCTTTGCGCAGGACCAAAAAATATGATCAAAGTCCACCAAGGAAGATGTACAGTGCCAGAATTCCACCAAATCTGAGGCATATATACGTGGCAGCCTAGCAGGCATGTAGTATATTCAATTAACCAGTTTAAATTGGATGAGTCGATCTCTGGCCAATACCAGGTTGCGGAAAAGATCGTCAACATGTCATCCCCCTTCAGATCAGAGCTCGGAGATCCATTGCATCCGACATTTCTCTAAAGACTTAGGTCTGGTAACAAAAAGCTCTTTATATACCTCAGATAAGGTTTTCTTAAGAGTATCAGAGCTAAGCAAACTGCTCCAGCTCTGAGGACCTGGCAACTAGAGTTGTACCCCCAAACTGTGCTATAAAAGCATGACGGAGTTGAAAGTATCTAAAAAAAACAGTTGGAGAGGTGAAACCTGAGTTTAAGTTAGTCAATGGTAAGAAGCCTATCGGTCTCCAATATATCCCTCATTTGCTTAATCCCCTTAGTAGCCCAAACTGCAGGATCAGGAATAATGTTCAAATGTGGCAGGCGGGGATTAAACCATAGTAAGGAGACGGGAGTATCCTATCCCATATGGTTGAATAAGATGATTAACCCTTTCCCACGCACGCAAGGTGATTTTCATAGAGCCTGTTATGGGGGCTGAAACCTGGGAACCTCTGAAGAGCAAATTGTGTAGCCCCTCGTATGAGCCCATTAATGCTGCCTCAGGAACATTAGCCGCATCTTCCTTCTTTCTCAGGAGCCAATTGTGGGCAAAGACCATCTGACTTGCCAGGAAATAGTTATATAAATTGGGTAATGCAAGACCACCCTGCCCCAGAGACTCCTTAAGTGCCCAGATCCCCAACCGTGGATTAGAGGAAGACCATATTAAATGTACTAAAAAGACCTTCAATTTTCCTAAAGTAGGAGCGAGGGACCTAAGCTGGAGTGTTATGTAAATATAAAGGAAAACAGGCAAAATTTTCATTTTAATCAGATTGACCCTGCCAATCAACTATAGGGGCAGGTGTTTCCAAGCCTCTAGCCTCCTCACTGTTTCCTCTGCTACTTTAACAGGAAATTGTCTTTCCACCCTTGTGTCTGGCTCCATATCTCTCTCCATTGTCAGCATGAGGTCCAGATAGTGCCAGTTTATCATCCATGCCATTTTAGGAGGACAATTTCTCTTTTTATTACTCCATATAGTTCCATAAAGGGTGCCGTGGATTCTCATTCTAGCATTTATGGTAGCCTTAGGCTATCTTACAGGCATATGGTTGCAAGGAGCCAGTTTACCCCCTTTCCATTTAAGGCTCACTTTACCAGCACTGTGGATTTCAGTATCATAACTTTACCAGTTGGTCTTTGGTTCACAGATTCTCCAAGTTTTACCAGGTGGACATTTCTGCCAGATTTGGATATATTGCCATTTGACCTACAGCTAGTCCCTTGCGTAACCCCATCCCCTAAGGCAGTGTTTCTCAACTCCAGTCCTCATGGACCCCCAACAGGTCATGTTTTCAGGATTTCCATTATTTTGCACAGGTGATTTGATCAGTTTCACTGCCTTAGTAATTACCACAGCTGTTTCATCTGAGGGAAATCCTGAAAACATGACCTGTTGGGGGTCCATGAGGACTTGAGTTGAGAAACACTGCCCTAAGGTGACAGTAAAGACTAAAGGTTTCAGAATTTCTGTGCAACTTTGTGGACTGCAAGAGAAAAGGGTTTCTGCAATGAGTCTCACGAGGATCAAAAATTAACTAGTTTTATCTTTTGGGTTTTCTCACTATAGATGTTCTTGCTGATGAGGTTTAATCTCACTTCATGTACTGGCAGTAGTGCATAGGAGAACATGGAATTTGAAAGTAAGGAGATCCTTCCAAAAATTTACAAATGTCTCCAGAAAAAATGAGGGAAATGTTTCTTTATGGAGACCTCTGTTCTTGTGAGGTTTTTCCATACCTTTTTGAAGAGACATCCCCCTTCTCCAGGATAATGAGGGGACAATATCACTAGTGTAAAGATCCACAGCAATGGAAATTTGAAAGGTTCTAACCCAGCAATGGGCAAACTACGGCCCGCGGGCCGTATATGGCCCGGCGGACCTTTTAATCCGGCCCGCGGAGCGTGATACTGTCAGGATGGCTGTCAGATGTGTGTAGGCGGGGCAGCGTGACGAACGTGAGGGGAGCTAGGCTCCTCTCACAGTCCGCCCTGAAGACCAGAACGGCGCGGGAACACGGCGAGAGGAACGCGCGGAGCAAAGGTAAGTAAATTGACACAAAGGGGACTTGGCTTACTACTGGGGGGGGGGGGGGGGGGGGAATAGTACTATGAGGGATGAATTAATATGGGGGGATGAATTACTATATGGGGAATGAATTACTATATGGGGAATGAATTACTATATGAATTACTATGGGGGATGAATTACTGGGGGATGAATTACTATATGAATTAAATCTACTCTTGGTCCGGCCCCCGGGTCCAATATATGAACCCATTGCGGCCCTCAAGTCAAAAAGTTTGCCCACCCCTGTTCTAACCCATCCTCTGTCAGCCAAAAATGATTTTGACTGAAATGAGGAAAAGTATTCTGTAGTCCAAAGATAGCTGGGAACAGTGTTAACGAATAGGAGTCGGCAGAAAGCACAGGAAGTTGTCAGCTCACTACATTATGGCTGAATCAACAGATATTTTTTTTTTTGTTTTTTTGCGCTTATCACGTAGATATGTCAAAACACTGATATATTTAGCAGACAAAAATGGAGCAAATAAGAGAAGTTCATTGTTTGGGTTTAAATACACATTAAGCTCCTTTAGTTGATCTAGTAAATCTGCTGGGGGTTGACTGTATGTTATAGAAAAAAAAAAAGAGTACCGTACATATGCATACAGTGTTAACCCTTACCTGAATCTCAGAGATATTCCATTGTTTTCCCAGGTGATCAGTGAACACCCAGATGCTTCCAGTGAAGAGATTGAAGAACTGCTGGAGTCACAGTGGAACATGCTCAGTGATAAACAAAAAGCTCGCTATAATACAAAGTTTGCCATTCTCACCTCTCCTAAATCTGAAGAAGACTCTGGTAAACATCATAGCCACAATGTACTCTAAGGCATTTTAATATCGCTTGTGGTTTTAAAGGGGAAATAATGACCCATTTTTTTCTTATTTCTTTTAACCAGTTAACCCATATTTATACACTTATTAGCCCAGTCTGTGATTACTGTGGTTCCTCTCCCTTTTTATTCCTATAAGTAACAGGTGAAGAATAGGTTTCTATTAACAAAGCCATTCTGGAAAGACTTTTTTTCCCTATACTATGTTTTTACTCTTTTACCTCAACGTGCATTAAGCCGAGCTACCGGACTGGGTGTAGGAACAGTCCCCAGTCAGGGGTGGTGATCATTCTCAGACGGCATGACAATGTAGTATATCATGTCCTCAAGTTAGGAATATTGAGGCATAGGCTGCATATAGAGCTCCTCAAGCCCCTTTTGAGAAGTTTGGTTACCAATTTGGTATACACTAAAGTGGAACTCCAGGCAGACATAAGAAAATATCTGAGAGTCCAGCTATACATTTAAAGTGGAACTTTGGGGTTGTAACATGCAAAAAACCATAATAATGTTTACATGCTGCATCATGTATGGCATTTTCTGTTCTTGGCCATAGTTCCACTTTAAAAATCAGTGTATATTTTTAGATACTGTAAGTATAATTACCTGAAATTCCTATATAAATCTCCTATTAACCCTGTACATTGGAAATCCATTACCTTTTTTGCTTCTGTCCTTACTATTGGAGGCAACATTTCAGTGCCCCAAATAACTTGTGTTGCGCAGTTAAAAATCCGGGAAATGTACCTTGCAGCCAAAAAATTATGGGTCAGATTACTACAATAAGTTATTTTGTCTGCAATCCTTGATTACCGTATAATCTCACCAAAATATTTTAAAGTTACAAACCTAAACCCAATTCCTGCACGAAAGGATGTTTCATTTTTTAAAGCTTATAATTCCCACAGATCAGTATGTAATATCCACTAGACTGCCTATGGTTTTGCTCATTCCTAACATTTTTTTTTCAGTTTTAAAACATTAAGAAAAAACACCCATCACTCTTCACATACACATGACAAGTAAATATTATGTTGTCAAGCTTTTATACATATGATCATTGTAATACAGTCCATTTAAAAATGTCATGTGGTTAATGTTTGGTGCTTGGGTATAATGTGTCAAAGAAATCTCCATGGCACGTGAACTTGAGCATGGGTGTGCCAACAGTGGGAGCCACTTGGGTTGCATTACATAGTGCTTTCATCACAACAGGTTTAAGGCGCTGGGAACTGGAAAAGGGGCCTTTAAATGGCCTTACAGAATGGGAAGACTACAGGGAATGATCTCATTAATGGGGTCAGCTAAACAGATCGACAGATTCTTTAGGAGACATTACAGTTTACATTTATTTAAACAGCAAATTTAGCACTGTAGGTGAAATTCTGATGAGGTACAGGATTTTGACATTGGATTAACAGCTCAGTGAGTATAATTTTTTTACTTTACCTCTAGTCACTTGTACTGGGATCCCAAAGAGCTCTTTTTCATGAAAAATAATTTACCCTGTGATGACAGCCCAGCAGCTACTTTGCAAATCTCACACTAAGAAGATTATTAAGGCTCACATTGCACTCCATACAATGCTTGCAATTACACAGACCAGCTAAATATTGAACAATCGTGTACTGAACAAAGAATACCCAGAACAGCATGAATGCCAGTTTAGAACCGACTAACCTGCAGCATTCTCAGACCTTGGCAGAGTTTTTTTTTCAGCGCTGCCTACTACTAGCATCCATTTGGAATATGGATAGGCAGAGGCTCTGACATGCTTGCTTATTTTCAGACTCTTCCATACATGTATCTGAAGTACATGCTACTGATTTAATGTGGCTGAGATAACTAGAACTGGCATGCTGTTCTTGACACTTTGCTCATTTACTTATAGTTGACTTATTTAAGGTGCCCATCCTCACGTGTGTGATCTCATACAAATCCAGTGTGGAGTAACCTATAACAGAAAAAAAATGCAGCTGGACTTTTCGCCTGTTGAATTAAAAGATTGAGATACTGACTAGATACACTTTGGGAAGCTCTGTCTATTAAAGGCTACAGAAACAATATTGCTGTTAGTTTTGTGCACACTAACTTTAAACTCCAAACAGCTAAAAAAAAACAAAAAAAAAAAAACCACCATTTTATCCACATGGTATCCATTAAAAGTTTAAATAAAGTATAGAAATTCTCCTATACATAATCTCTACTACCCACCTTCCCTACTGGGTGCCAGCTGGGATGTATAGCATTGCACAGTGGTGTCAGGGACATGTTTAAACATGGCTTGTTGCTAACAAGGGGGGAGTTGGTTGGGATTTGAAAGAGGGCAATGCAGATGTTCTCATGCTTGTCCAAGGTTTTGGGTTGAACACACTGAAAATAATCGCAAGACTTCCTTCAACAGAAGTAACCATTTTTTGATAGCGAAGGCTGTTTACATGTGACTACTGTAAGCGTCTTTTTTTACATTCTTGCCTGGAGTTCCAGTTTAGTGTCTCATCAGGTCATTTTGTAGGGAGGGGCTATTGTGGCTCATTTAGAAACCTTCCTAAGACCAGCCCTGGTTCCCCTGAAAATTAACATTTCACCTTTTTGTTAAATGGAAAATATATCATTAAACGGAGAACTTATTTTGGAGACCTATAGCAAATACAATTGCCTGAATTTCGAACTGCATGCGCAACTATTATACATTGATTAACGTGCAGTGAAGCTGGGCAGATCCAGATTCAGTTTCTCTGAACTAATAAGTGGCTTATGAATCTGTATATGGTAATATAGGTGCTGCCTAGTCTAAACAATTTTGTCAACATATGTGACCTGTGAACATCAAATAATTCAAATGGTGAAATTGAATATCCAAAATAAACATAAAAATTTGAACCAAAACACAGCTGAAAATTTAAATATATATTCGTCCATATCCATGTACTTCTTCATTCATAATGTGACTGACATCCATACAGTATTTGAGTCTTGCTGTGCTCTATCCCTTTAAATATGGCGCTCCCCACCAGTGCTCCCACTCACACAAATTTAAGAGTCCATACCTGTTGGTGTATAAGAATCATATGCAGTTATGTGATGATCCTGGTTATACTGGGGTTTGTAGTCCTCCTCTGTGGCTGTGTCCTATATCCATATAGACCAGTTACTCTCATAGTGCATGTATGAAAGAGATGATCGCATAATTCCATTTATTATAAAACATTAGGTTAAAATCGGCTACACCAGACTGGAAGCAACGCACTGCCTTGCATTCCACCCGCTGGGAAATGATGCGTTTCGCCCCTCCTCCTGGACATTTGAGAATGCAGATTTAAGGGATAGAGCACAGCACTATTCAAAGACTATATGGACATTTTGTTTCATAATGAATGAAGTAGTACATGGACGAATATAACATTTTTAAATTTTGGTTGTTGGGTGTTTTTTGGTTCAAATATTGATGTTTATATTGGATATTCAGTTTTCTCTATTTTTGGATTTATTATTTGATGTTGGTATATCACATATGTGATTTTTAATTGTTTATTAGGCTAGGCAGTGCCTATATTACCATATGCAGTTCACTTCACTAGAGCTGCAGACAGTCGCACGTTGATTTCACATTGAATAAGGCACTTAAATAGAATATTCATTTTGTCCAAGCGCGGGTACATGAAAATAAAATGGTTTATGAATATGCTTTTTATTTCACAACTTTTTTTTTTTTTTTTTTTTAATGACCCATCCCAACATGTTTTGTTATGAAGCACTTTAGTGGTAGCTTACTTATATGGTGTAAATATTGTAGCATTCAGGTCCACAGCCACTGTTGAGGAGAATTTTAGTCCCTATAGAAGGGGTTTTTTTTTTTCTGCAGTATTCCCGGCTATTCTAACAAAAAAAAAGTTGCTCATCCACAAAAATCATTATTTGGATTCTACTCAGCTTTGCCAAGCAAATCCTGAAAACATTGGGGAGATGCAAACAGATTTCTGTATCACACATGATCTTCAGTGGCCATGTTTTGTGTACAGTACTGCAAACACTGATGATCGGCTCTCCCTTCATTGGCACAGCAACAATCCTTTGTGTAAGAATTTTATTATGGAATAATTGGATACGGATTTGAATGGGGAACAGTGAATAAAAAAAAACAAAACAACCCTTCTGTATTCCTCAAGGTTCAACTCCGAAGGACGAAGGGGAAAACAAGAGGAACATATTTCAAGAGTCGCCAAAGAGGAGATCAAGATCAAGAAGTAATTGAAATTCCTGTTGTCCACTTTTTTTTTAATCTTTTGGTACAGAATAAGTTCATGTAAAAGAAACCTTTTTGTGGGAATATTGGCTTCTTGAATACATATAGGTGTAGTGGTGATAATTTTGTCCTTTTTTTCTGGGAAGACAAGATGTACTGCATGTAATGTTAATCAAGGATCTCATGTGTTCAGTTCCACGTGCTTTGTTGTGCAGCCTTTATATCAGATTCTCTTTCCTGCCAGTTAAAGCTAGACTTGTTAGCTTGTCTCTAGTACTGTTAATTGTTGAACACCCTATTAGCTTGTAATTCTAACAGTGCAGACCTCTAATACATGTGATTACAAGAAGAACATGCTCGTAATCCTAAGCATCATACCTCATTAGTTTCTCAAGAAGAGAACTTCATTTCAAAGACAACTTTGTAAATACTTTTTTGTTTTACCGTGTCCACTCAGAAGTGGTAAATTTTGGGTGGATGTTGCTTTGTTGAGTCACCAGATGTCTCCTAGTAATTTTGGCAGATCGGTGTCTCTGGAATTCCTGATTCTAACCACTCGACACTACTTTCTTGCTCATCCTTACACCCATATGGGGAATGCTCTGGGATTTTTGGTAGTTGTGAAATTTCACCACCTCGTTCCTGGATGTCAGCATGTTATTCCTCATGGCAATATCCATCCAAAACAAGAAATATCTGTGTGGACCTAATTTTAAAATGTACAGTCCTGTTGTAATTGCAAGAAACAGCACAGTGGTTACCAGGACGTTGACAGTCTATGTACAGGCAAATCCATCCAGACTGCATCATTTCAACGTAATAAACTATCCATTTCATTTGTTTTGTACATGGAGTTAAAACAGTGGTGTTGCACGGTGTCGGGGCGGGGGGGGACAAACTGACACAAGCAGAGGTACCCACCTCAAGTGTCATAGCGCAGTCACATTCAGCTGAATTATCGTAATACAAGAAGGAAAATGTGATTCATTGTACGCTGTGCATCATATATTTACAAATGTTATGTTTTCATAAAGTTAATGGTTAATATGAGCCAGCAATAAATAAAAGAATTGACCTTTTACTCTGTGTTGGTAAAGTGCTGTCTTTATGCATGCTATACAAAGGAGTTTTTTGGGGTTTTCTTTGTTTTTTGTTTTTTTTTTAATACGGCATCATATAAAGCACAGTAACTAGTAGCAGTAAATCAAACAAAACAAATGTGTCACTTTTCTGATGGCAAGAACCAATGAAAGCAGACATCCAGCCATTTCCTATTGTTAAATAGATGCCAGTTAGACTCATGTCCTCTAATAGTTTACCAATAGTAGGTTATGAAAGAGAAGTGTGTGGGATGTATGGTTTAGATGTTAACCCCATATAGGGTGGCAACAATATTCCTGGGTCTTTTCACACACGTTTCACACCCTCCCCCCTAAAGGTAGATTGCATGGAAATACAGGAAACCACACAAAGATGGACAGCAAGCTTACCGACGATGAAGAAGGCCCCAGGAAGAGGCTCAGGACCCACAGTCAGAAGGTAAAGAAATCCATGTTTGCTGTATTACCTGCTATACTAACATTGTAGCCAAGGCTAGCTCTCTAACTCTTCCAGCCACATATTTCATTGTGTTTTTTTCCCTTTTTGGAATAAAATAAATACACAAATATGCAGAGCAAGATCTCTATTATGCCTGTAAATAATTGTAGACAGAAATGTTATTTCTTTGTATGGAAGGCCCACATTTAAACTTTGAAGTGTATAGTAATCTTTGCTTTTGCAAATGCCTCTTGTACCATGTGTTTATCACTCATACTTAGGAGTCACATGCTGCTTTACATTTACTGGTAAGGGACGGAAGAAAAAAACAAATCTGACTAGAAAAGAACACACCTTTACCCTACTGAAATGCTTTATGCATCTAAAGCTGGCTACACACTATACATTAGATTTTGTATTGTACATTTTCCTTTAGATTTGCCAAAGCCATATTATATGAGGTCAAACCTAAATACCTTCAAATTTGTGCTCAAAAGTAAAAATTACAAAAGTGTCAGAGTTTCAACAAAACTGAACTCTTAACAGCCAGTACATAAAATATATTTCGGCTTCTCAGCAGGAGCATTGTATTGAGGTTGGGCGTATACTATAAATATTTGGTCTTTTCCATTTGTGGACCAAAGGAAATGCAATTTTTGCATTGCAGACCAACAAGGAAATTTGAACTAAAATCTGTTTTCTTTGCGCAATACTGAGCTTTGGCAAGTGAGACCCCAACCAAATTTTTTTTTTTTTTTTTTTTTCATTTCTCTGGGGTCCACCCTCCCCCCCCCCCCCCCCCCCCCCCCCTTAGTGGCAGTATTGAATGAGCAGCTCTTGTTTCTGGCCTTCTATTGCACCAATTTAATATAGAACTGCTAAAATATGGTTAGAGGGGAAGGGGTGGATTTGAAACTCCCCATTCATAATTCTTAGATTGAGCAAATGTACTGCATTCCATTCACTAATTTTGAAAACGGTGAATTGAGATTCAGTTGCATCGTGTAAGAGCTTTCCTAATTTCCATCAAGAATACTTGTATTAAAACTTTTAAACATTTGTTTCTTTCACACACGTTATAAGCTAAACCTCTTAATTTAAAAAAATAAATATATATAATAAATTTTTTTTAAATCAAAATATTGTACCACAGTAATAATGGTCAGGGTCCATGACTAGGAGGCATCAACTTTTACAAATTGTGCTGTCCTTTCCAGCTCTATTATGAGACAAATAGGCTTCATCAAAATGCTAGTTACCTGGCACTCATGCTAATCTCCATCTTATACTTTCATTGTTTACTTTAAACCGAATTTTTGTTCTGCATAACTGTTTCAGGTTTTAATGACTTAGGCCAACCATAGAGGGATTGAAATTCATCCTGTTCAGCAGGGACTAGCTAATTTCGATCTATGTATGGGCACCCTGGTTGTACACAAGTCGATCGATCAATTGACTTGTGTACAAACAGTCTGTTGGGCTTTTTTCCGAACGATTAGTGCTGCCGGCTATAGCCAGTAACATTATAGAACACGCTGCTCTGCGTGCGGGATTCCCACTTTAACATCGAATGTATTGATGGGGGGAATCAAGCAATTTCTTTCCTTCAACATCATTTGCCTTGTTTTCTAATGGCAGGAATGTTGCAGTTTTGTTTGAAAAGGTGTGTAAATCAAAATTATATGTTCACTTGCTGCTTGAGGAGGCCAGAGCAACTGATATGAAATGCTAGATCTACCAGTCGTTCATGTGGCTCTGTAAATGTTTAATGCATTACAAGTCCAAATATTCTCTGATCAATGGAGTAACCTGGGATTTTGTAGTTTCCCATATGCAACTGAACTAGGCCTGCTATATGGTGAGTATTGAACAAAGCAGTTTTACAGACTCCGCGTGTCGCAGCAATGTTCTGAAATAATGAACAGACGCTGAAATAGTTTTAGCTGTAAAATATATGCATCATTTTTGTCTAGTGTCATAAAAAATGTGCAGCAGTCATACTTCATCCCACGTACATTTTCCCAGCATTGCAGCTATTCTACCATGAATAAGGGAATCTCTGCGAATAATCTGCCTGCTACACAAGTGTATTTGAAGTGATCTACCTCCTCGTACAGTCTTTCCGTGTTTAGTGAGGTCAGGATATTAAAGCGGAAAGAAATGCCATCCTAATTTCTGATGAGGTGCCTTCATGGTTACTATTCCAAAGCCTATACAACGCTTAACTGGTTCATTAGAGACAACAACATTGCCGTGATTCAGTTTAATTTTGCACGAGGGCATCTCTCGTTGCTTTTTAGTCCTCCCCTCCTTTTCCCTTTCCCTACATTCATCCATCCAAATTACACTGCAGACGTGCAACGTCATATCACTTCCTGGTTAAGATGGCATGCGTTTCTTTTGGAAGTGTTCGGCTTTGCAAGGCTTCCACTAGATGGCAGTCAAGGATTTGTTTTTTTACAGATCTGTAAGGGGATTTCATCTACGTTTTATTATTTTTAATAGCCATCTTTTATTATATACCAGTACGTCGCGCACATATGTAATAATAGCCACACCCTTTTTTTTAATTGTCAGTTGTCAGCATTTTGAGTTTGTTTTGCATAGACTTAGTGATCAATAACATATTATCGTCCTCTGCTTCATCTTGTGTGTGTTTTTTTTTCCCCCCCCCCCCCCCCCCCCCTCCTTTTAGCAAGTGGAAAACAATGAGAAGTCTTCAAAATCATGTAGAGGCAGAGAACGTGCCCCTGTAAAGGTCCAGCCAGGTAATACAAATGTTCATGCTATGCACTGTATTTAGAGGGTGCTAAGCTAAAGGGGGAGTCCATTACTTGTTTATCTGAGTTTTTGGCTGGCTTAATATTTAGAGGTAGGATTCGATCTTGTGAGTGTTTAAAGCGAAAAGAAACTCTATTTAGTGAGGGATTAAAATTCAGCAGGGGGTCAGGGGGGGGGTGCTCCTTTCCTGGCCTGCCATTTGAAAACTCTACTTTAAACTCGGTCAAAGAGCCTATTTTCATCTTCCTTGGAAACAGGAGTTTGATGCAATTAGAATTTTTTTTTTTTTAAGTGGTAGTAAAGGCTAATTACAAGCGTTCTTAAAATCCCTGCCTCCCTCCTCCTACGTATGCTGCATGTAAAAAAAAAAAATAATAATAATGCATAAATACTTATTTTAAATCCGCTTCAGGGGGCAGTCACATGGTTCAGCAGCTGTGGCTCTTTTTTGTAAGGGAGCGCTTGCCAACAGCTGTGAATTCCCAGGGCTCTAACATCACCCACTGGCTCCTTATCCCTGTCTACGGTTGGCGTTCCCTCCTCTCCCCCCCAGCAGCCACTCTGACACCGGGGAGCCTGAGCTGCTGGACCACCCGTGGACTTCTTTCATTTTTTTGGAAAGAAAACATCCCATGTTTTATGGTTGCACCAAATGTCACCACATTTTATTTTGGGACTGTTTTTTTTAT